TGTCGCAATTCATTATTAAAATGCATTCCTAGACACTCCATCAAGAGTCACAATATTTTCTAACCACGAAAAAATGTGAAGAATATAAAGAACCACCTTCTACATTTTTCGAAACACTTTTCTGAAATCTGCACTTTAAATGTAACTTATTACGAATCAGAAAGAAAATTGTTGCGTTCAAATCAAACATTTGCGACAATAAATCGAAGCTATTGATATAAAGGTACATTTACTGACACTTTTCACAACACTTTGCAGGAAACACCACTTCAAACGAGAAGAAATCAATAACTATTTTATACTAATTTAGAACAGTCCTTAGAACCTCTTCCATTTCAAGCAAAATTGAGTCTGAAGTAACAGAATTTCCTGCCCGAGAAAGCAACCACCCATTCCCTTTCCCGATTTGCATAAATTCCCAAACCCCAAGTAAAATAGCGGTAATTCTCTCTAAGATAAATTTCAACGAGGCTAACGGGAATGACAAAATATCCCCGACAATGCTGAAACATGTCGGATGCAACGCAATTTCCTGGAATGTGGTTAACATTTTCAAGACATAGTGCGCAATTATTTCTCTGATCGGTAGACTTGGCAATCGAATGATTTTGTAGTTGGCAGTCGGTATTACTATGATGCGTTGAATAAATGTACCACTTATATTTTTAAAGATCTCAGCTCATAAATACTAATTCACAGCGTATAAACAATAAATTGTGTAAAAGAAAATGGACGTAGTATAAATATTAAGCTGACAAGTTTTACATAAAATCGAATTTTCAGGTGGTTTATAAATATATTAATTTTATATGTTTCCTTTATTTTGGCATCGATGAAGCTTCAAACATAATATTTTCCTACTTTCATACATAAAAAATAATAAAGCAATTTTTATGAAATGATTGATGTATTTATAGAACTATTGAAAATTAGTTTTCATGAAAATCAGCTGAATATTTATGTTGATACGCCAGTCTTTTATTACAATTTAGCACGAAATAGTTTTTAAAGAATGACCATAATTTTCAGAAAATTCAGATTAATCAAAATAAATGAGTTAGAATATTTATGCAACGCAGTGTATTCTCACTTCAGCATTTACGTTTTCTTTCTTTGTCATCGTGGGACTAACAAAACATTTGAACATTTCTATGAGCTATTTTTACTATTGACATTCGTCGACCCAGTAGAGGGACTTCTTTGTAGTCAGAACTATCCAGAACTACAATACATGAAGCTAACATCGGTATAAACACGGATATTGTCCTAAAACAAAAGTAGAAGGGGACTATATTGCCAGCAAACTAAAATCTCCTGCGGTTGAGAAAGATGCACAGGATATCACTTCATTTCAATGATGGATCACCAATCGTTGAAATGGCTAGACAATCCAATACGAGTGGAGTTCCGAGAACAGCATTGTAGATACCTTGCCGTGGCTATATCAGACCAGTGAAGTACATAAGCCGATCAAGTGCCAATGGTACCGCAATCTCATGGAAGGCATGCGGAAACGTGCGACCATCAATCCGGAATTCTACATTAGGAATTGGTGGCTCTATTGATATATAATGTACACCCTGAATTTCAACAATAGACCGAACGATGAATAGAAGTTGCAGGCGAAGGGTGAAGACGAATATTAAAGGAAATTCTGTGATACGAAAACTCGATATCGTCCTGACACAATTGTCATGCTAATACTTTTGGTCAGACATGCGGAAGATGCGGAATATCTAATGAGTTGTAAAAATTGCTAAAGCACATTTAATAGTACACTCGAAAATGATGCATGCCACATAAATAGGACTATATCATGCAAATACATCTGAAACTTATGTTATGTTATGTTTTATATGCATTCGAGTTATCAACGATAATGAACTCAATTCATTTGTAATAGAAGTTCATTTGTAATAGTGTTCAACTGTAATAACTGTTGGAATATTGTGCCATCAAACGCAGACACTTTTCCTTAGAGTGTAAGTCGAGAGAAACGTTTAACTATATGTTCAGAAACATGATAAGTCAATGTATCACGAAATCTTAAACTCAGTATGTATCAGAAATCGCTCTGCCTATACTAGCCGTTGAATACTATTAAAATACACTACGAAACTAAAATACTATTAAATTAACTCTTTGAAGTCGAAACATTTAAGAAATAAGTTTTGTCGGAAGTCCCAGACTTTGATAGCAAAGTATTAAAAATGTCCTGCAGACTATACTGAACCAGTTAGTATGAGAATTGCCGTAAAAGTCTTAGTAACCCAAATAATCCCCAAAACGAATATGTACCCAGATTAGAAGGTTCGATTGGTAACCTGGCACCGTCTCATATGCCGACGTCCTTTACTAAGGACATTCAACGACCGATACGGCCACTGATTCTGAGCCATTAATCAAAACATCAGGTCTGAAATTGTGAACGACATCACAATTAGTTCAGGACAAGAGAACCTAGGACCTGGCGATTCTATACGATCACAAAAAAGGGCATCAAGTATGCCTGACTTACGAAATTTGAGCAGCATCTGGAACGTCAGCAACCCGCCTTAGAGGGAGGTTCCTATCAAATTGTCAGTACACAAAGAACAGAGCGGAGTTCGAAATAAGTCACATAAAAGAAATACGAGTCCTACCGCTTTTACTATTATACGATCTTCCATTCTCTAACAAGGTTGTAGAAATGAGACACATTTGTAAAGAGAATATTAGAGAGAGGGAGAAGTGACATCTACCGGATAAGTTTGAGTGGTGGGCCACTAGATGTCTCGGGAGATGTGTTGCTCGCTAGTGGTCCACCGGGTTTGAGAATATAGTAGAATTTAGTATATGATATAGTGAAACTTAATATGTAATGTAGTGGAACTTATTGTTAGTATATTTTCTATCTTATTCAAACATATTTATAGAGAGTGTCCCACGCAAGTGGAACAAATTGTGATCGAAAGATCCTCCTTTGTAATCAAAACACTTATTCATTCGCTTCTTCATGTTGCGCAACACATCACTTGTGTCGCTTTCTATATCTTTGGACATTTCCTGTCGAATACCTCGTTTGAGCTCCTCAATATTAGTAATGGGGTAAATGCACCTTCTCTTTTAGATATCCGCATAAAAATGTCGAGGGATGTGAAATGCGGTGATCGCGGTATCCATAAGATCGGCCCTCGAGTACGAATCCATTCCGCTCCATAAGTTTTATTTAAACGTCTGGGAATTATCTGGGAACTGTGCACTCATGTTATGCTGTTATCATAGTAATCTCGGGTATCAAATAAGAGAACTAGCAGGTCCAAACAGTTTAGGTACCTTTGACCTGTCGATGTTCCGTTAAAGAAACATGGTCCAATGACACATTTATTAAAAATTCCACACCAAACATTTACACTGCACCGTATTTGATAATGTTTCTCCTAAGGCGTGGATTTTCGATAGATCATGTACGTTCATTATGTTGATTGAACATCCCATTGTTTGTGAATCTCGCTTTGCCTGTTCACAAAATTTTCATTTTCTTGAATATGCCGCAAAAAATATCGGCAACAGTTCATTCTTCGGACTTCTTCCCCAGGCTGCAATAATTGCCTAATGGAAAACCGATAGGGATAAAAGTTATGTATTCTCAGAATGCGTTGAACAGAGGATTTGGAAATTCCACATTCTCGAGCCAGATCTCTCACGGACACATGTGGATTTAATTCGATGTTCGCCAGCACTGCTATCACATTACGCTCAATTTTCAACGATTGCTTTCGGCACGTCTCGCTTTGGTTTGTAGAAGGAGCCGTATTGGCGTTAACTGGACTCCAGTTTATAAAAATACGAACACAAGGGCTGTCGCCAATTGGAATATGTCTCTCGATACAACCTTGCAGCCTCTGTACCATTTCAGTTGCATTAGCTGAACAAAATGAACATATCAACTGCTTCACTATTCACCAATATCAGAATTTCGAAACACTGGGTCGTCAAACAATCGCACACTGCTAGTAAATAGGTACTGATTTGTATGTTACTATGATTGTATAAGCAGCGCTTCATGTTTACAAACATCATAATGGAACATAACGTAGGTACTCCAGAACACTTGCGGAGTGACTGAAACAATTCAGAGAATGTTTAGCTGCCATAACTTCGTAACAAATAAATCTAGGGCATAAGTGGGTTAATACTTTTATGTAGAGTAGAAGAAACTGTATCGATTAATGCAGTCATAACATAGGTTTTATAGGACTCGTAATAAATCTTACGAGCGAGTATGTTAATTTTGTCGAGATAGAGATGTATCAGAAATAAATGTACATATAAGCTAGTTTAGGTACCATCCCTTATTTATTTATTTTCTTTTTTAATTTCACTTCAAAAACTGGCGGTCATCATTTACGCCTGTAAATCTAGTGTTAAGGTTATTTTCAAACCTCGTCGTTTTAACTGGACGCAGCGTCTGCATGCAGATGAGATTTACTATGTCTGACGCGTGCATGCAGACGTAGCGTCCACACAAAGGTAATGTTCAATAAGCGTGTGACGTATTCATTTAGGATGATGTCGCTCACCAAACGAGAAGATTCAATATTGAAAGTGAAATGAATTTTTTAAATATATCACAGTTTATCATCGCTATTAGAAAGTGAAGACTCATTTAACCCTATGTCGTTCATAATATGTATAGCTCGTTTAACATTTATTAGTAAAAAAGAAATAAATGTTGCGCGTATACAAAGATCGAGATAATTATGATTGTTCCACTGTATTAATAACAAATCATGATTAAATAATGAAGGAAAATATAGACAATTCCGGTTTTATAAAACAACAAGTCGATTTTATTTCAAATCCAATTAGAAATAATTTACAAGAAGGTCATTTACAAAAGTGAAATTTCCAATTTCAATAAAAAAATTATTCTTGATATCAAGGCAAGTCCATTTTTAAAAAATACTATTATATTATTTTTTGTAATATTATAATATTATTTTTCAACAACGCAATGTTATAATAGTTCGCAAATTCATTATATTAATGTAGCGATTTTTTTTCTAATACATTGATTATTCGTAACACTTCCAGTTTTGCTTCTGCGATTAAATCAGGTGGAAATGTTTTGACCGTCGTTGCCATACTTTTGAAGAACGATGTGACTGGATCCGAATCTTCTATTATCGTTCTATTAATATTTTCTATGATTTTCTCTATTTCGAGAACTCTGTATTCCAATACTTCTACGATTTTATCGATTTCGTATTTGTGTCTTTTCGTTGTACTGCTGTTAACTGTTTCTAATCTTCTTTTTCTCGAGGGTATTATATAACCTTGAGAATCTGTTTCGGTAAATGAATCAATCGACGTTTCTACCAATGCTTCTATCAATGTATGCTCGCTGTCTATATTACTCGTAATTTCAGAAGTCTCTTGTGAATCTTCCATGTTACTGTGAACACAATAAAATGAAGTGAATTTTGGAATTTGTAGAATTTTACAGAAATACTTACCTTCTTTCAGAAAATACTATATCTAAGAAGCTTAAATGTTGTAATAACGGCCATTTTGATTTTGGTTTCGCTGCCGACCCTATTCCATATTTATTGCCACGTTTTATTTTCATGAAGGTATCTCTTATATTTCTCCATCTTTTTTTGCAGTCAGTAGCTGAAATAAATATACTTTTTGTAAATGTCATTACTAAAGAAATATAGAGATATCGTATGAATATATAGGTACTGTTATAAGTGATTTACTTACAAATAAACAGTTATTGGTTCAATACCGATTTAGCTTAACTTAATATTTCTGACTTGAAATAAAATTGCAAATGACCTTGTAATAAAATAAAATTTTCCGTATTGAATTGCATCTTTGTATTACAAGTATAAAAGATATCTCTTTATTTCATTAATCAACGCTAATTACAATTTTATAATTATTCTTATAGCAATGAATACGAAATATACTTCAAAAATCTTTATATTCGTTGGAAAAGACAAAATTATTTCAACAGATAGAAATACGTGTAACTAAATTTTATCTAAAAAATCAAGTTCTGTACAAAATGTTCATGCCAGTCAAATTGATCATTGTTAAAGTTTCTAATTTCATTGAAAATAGGATATGGTGCAGTTTACGTGACACTAGACTCCAGTAACTAGAGAGTAGTTTAATTCATCATTTTACTCGTTTTGGAAGCGTTTGAGAAATACGAGCCTTTGAATTTAACGATTTTGGCCCATTTTCATGGAAATGGATTGTACGTCTAAATTTCCATCTCGTACACCACTTGTCTCATTAACTGACCTGTTTTCTAGTTTTAATTAGGAAGGAACAAATTGTTATTAAGTTGGAAAGTGGTTTTTGCAATATTGGATATTACAAACAGATGTTCACATGTTATACAAGAAAATAATAAATAGATGTTTGTACACTATACAAGAAAACGTTAAACAGATGTTGACATACTTTTCCAAAAAAAATATAAACAGATGTTTACACATTGTAGAAGAAAATGATAAAAAGATGTTCATATACTGTATGAGAAAAATATAAACAGATGTTTACACGCTATACAAAAAAATTGTAAATAAATGTTTATAACAATATAACAGTATAACTATAACAAATGTTCACAATGTTCACAATCATAAACAGATACTTATCCGTTTGAGTCTCATCTGAAGATCGCGTATTTAACCAGTTAACTGTGGCGATCTTTTTGCAAAACGCACACCAGTGTGTGTCGCGATAATGAAGCGATGACGAGTTAGCTCTCAAGAATTTATGAATCCATCCTAAATCATTTACATTTTATATTTGTTTATTTCATTTCGTGTTGACGTCTAAACATTTTAAACATATTACAATGTACGAATATAATTTAGTTTTCGCCAAAATTACAATTTGAATATCAAATTGTAACAAAATTTTACGCATAACGGATATAGTCGTCATGACACAAAATTCTCCAACATCTCCATGACGGATATAGTCGTCAAACACACGTAACTGGTTAAAAGTCCTAAAAAATGACTAAAATATTTCTTAAGCTTTTTTCTATAAAAAAGCTGATTCCCATTCTTGTGCGGCTTGTGTTAACGTCGTAGTAAACTGTTAGAGACAACGTTCTGTATCAAGTAAACGGATCACAAGGTCCGTTATTATGGTCGGTTAACCCAGTGATGGGCAGATCAAATACACGCCGAAGAACTCATCAGCACTGATGTGTATCAAACATACAACGAAGATGGTCGATGGAGATTTCACATTTAAAAATCAAAGAACTTAAAATTATTGACATGTGATAATATGAAAGTTTGGAAATTCAGAAATCTAACAGGGTAGAAAAGTTGTTACCTAGAAAATTGGAAAGTTTTAGAACATACAAATTTCAAGTTTTCAAACTCACGAATTAAACGATTTGAAAATTTGAGAAATTGTAGGTTTAAAAATATAGAAATTGTTTTCAAGTGTTCAAATTGTTAAATTTCAGAATCTTTTGATTATAAATTGTTGCGGTATTGAGCTTTTAATTTAAGAAATTATGATATTCAGGAATATTAAAAATTCTAAGAATTGAAAGTTTCAAAATATAAAAATTTCAAGTTTTTAAATATATAAATTTCCTAACTGCAAAATCTTTTAATTAAAAATATTCAATTTTTAGTTTAAAAAATTTTACGAAATTCCAAAATTTCTAATTTTAAAACTGTAATTTTAAGATATAGGAGTGTCAAAATTTTAGTTTCAGATATTTTGAGATTTAGGAATATTAGATGCTTCAAATTTTAGGAATTAAGAAATTAAACTGCATATTGGTCGTGTTGTTCAATTTCCTTAATAATCACAGACATCAGAATATTCGATGCACAGAATTCGCACACAAAAATATTTTTTCAGCGCATAAACATAAAGTCGTCCGTTAAAGAGAAAACTGAATCAACATCTTATGTTATAAATGCATTTTTAATTTTGAAACTTGTATAAGCTATTATATAATATACTTAAATACTGTTAATATACATAACATTGTTATGTATCCTATTATACATAAGAACTATGTATGTTTTCACGTGAAAAATTAGAACAAAAAAAGTTATAAGAAAGTTTCAAAAATTTTTGTTGGATTCGAACCCTGGCTGGTTAGATTTGCTATTTTGTACCTAAATACTGACGTCATTGCACACCTTTTTGCACAACTACTACATAATTGCATTATCTTAAAATTTGCATAAATTTTAGAACTAAAATATCTCAAAAACTATTTTGGAAAAACTTATGAGTGTGATATAATATCACATGCGTATTACCACTTAAAAACATTGTTATTCCATACACGATTTTTACATCCATTCCTTTCTGTTATGAAAAGCGAAAAATGAATTCAAAACAAATATTTATCAATAGTTATAATAGATAATCACGCAATCTATTCATCATTAACTTGATAGTTCATTCTGTTGTTAATAAGAATCGCACAAGAATAGAACTAAGCTATTTTATAGAGAAAACCTTAAGAAACATTCTACTTTATTGGAATTTTTATAAATGTAACCTTGAAATAGAATTTTGCAAGACGGAAAGTTTATTTATAATTTTGAACACTGCAGAAGTTGTTTTTGAATAAAAATTTATTCAAAGGGAACCAATCTTCTAACTTAAAATAAAATAGAAAAGTGTTTCGACACAATAAATAGCATGAAAGATAAAAGATCGAATGCCCATTTTCATAAAAATGAAAGAAATCATCATATTCAAAGACCTGTATTTCTCAAATAGATTAGATCGCGTAAAAAGATTAATTAAAAATCTAATTTTGCGTGAAATATATTATCCGAGTTTTAAACGAAATTTGAGTAGTCGAAGGAGAAAAGTAATGATTTTGTGTTGTATGACTCGAAAACAATTTTCAATTAGAATATGTAGAGAAAGAAGTTGAGGACACATTTAAAATCTAAAATTCAAATTTTCAAATATTTTATTCTGTTATTGTAGTACTACCAAAAATTCGTGGTTTAACGATTACTGAAGACGTGTTTAAATAATATGTGTTATGATGAATAACTGAACAAGTACATTATTTCTGAACAACACAATTACAAAATTTGTATATTGCCATAATTCTCTGATTTAATCAAGGTAACATATTATTTGTATATATATATATA